TTGCTAATGCAAAAAGGGCCGGTGGCAAACCTGGCACGTGCCACGCGTTATAGGAAATGTAGGTGATGTAGTTCCCAAATACTTCACTTGAGCAGTAGGACAGGAATAAAGAGTTTGTAACCACCCCAGAAAAGGGCCAGCAGTACCCCACCTACGCAATACATACATCACATAGTCCCAGGATACCGAGTCAAAGGCCCGCTGTATATCCAAAGATAGCAGAAAGCCTGGGATGCCTCTAGTTCGAAGTATATCGGTAATATGTACTATTTTCCTAACGTTGTCACTGGCTTGTCTGTGCGGTATAAACCCCACCTGATCGCCATGTATTCATTTGGGCAGAAATACGTTAATACGAGTGGCTAGAATGCTCGTCAAAATCTTGATGTACACATTTTATAGGGATATCGGCCTATAATTGCCTGGGACCAGGGGGTCCTTGTCAGGTTTCGGGACCATGGCAATATAGGCCAAGAGGGAGGAAGAGTGTAACTCAAGCCCTGTCTTTAGAGAATTATACATGGATACCAATCTGGGGGCCAAGATAGGGGCTAGCTTTTTATAATACAAGGCCGAAAAGCCATCCGGACCAGGGGCTTTCGAGGGTTTAAGACGGGCAATTGAGGCAAGTACTTCCTCCTCCAGAATATTAGAGTTTAAGAGATGCAGATGCTCCCCAGAGATCTGCTGGAGAGGGATAGTATCATAAAGTTTGTCAGCAACCGAGGTCTGGAATGGTTCCCGGCCTACATAAAGCATTTCTAGATTTTTCTTAAAGAGTTCCAATATCTTGATAGGGTTTGCTGTAATGGCACCATGGGAACCTCGTAAGCGGATAGGAGCATAGAATAATGGTATTATCTCATACAGTCAACCAGTGTGAATTCAAATTGTTATGGTGCCAACAAAGAAAATTATCGGGTACAATACATCTGTATTTTTGTTCTCATCTTCTAGACTAGAATGAAAGAAAATAAAAATAACCTTCTTTGTGGAAAACCGCACTGTTTATCAGTTTTCTTGGAGTGTCCTTGTGTGATTGCCCGTACTGTGTTAATACAAGCAAAATGTGTAAAGCATACTAACTGCGCTGTGTCTGTGATAAAAAAAGGACAGGGATAGTCACAGAGATGAAGAATTACCAACTTAGTCCTATAAATCTCCCAGATGGTATTAGTCAGCATGAGCACCAGCCATGTCCTATTGTTAACTATAAGAGATTAAATTAATATCCTCATTAGGTAGAAGAACATCAGAGTGCTGTTGCCCATTTAAAATTTGGCTCTATAACAGAAGCCTGTTAAATGGTGCCATTCGGAAATTTTACACATTGTTTTAAATCCGGGACCATATTTTTAAAGATTGCCAATATAATTGTGTTTTGTTTCACCGCACTTTGCCCTATTTTACTTTATTTGGGTTAATTAATGTTTCTAGCTTTTAAAAGTTTGCAATGGAAAACTGCAATATTGAGATAGAGTAAAAGACAAAATGGCAAAATAAAAGGGCAATGTGTTGTAGAAAAAATACAATCACAACACCCTAAGGAAAATCAAATGCGTTTGTTTCAGTGCCAACAACCTGATGCTGCTTGTTATTTATGCAGGGACTTGGTTTTTACTAGAAGACTGGTGCATAACAGGTCAGTACTTGCAAGGTAATTATGGATATTAGGGATGAGCAAACTGGGCAAAGTCCAGTTTGCAGAAGGTTTGGTGAACCAACTGGGAAGTCTGCCAACCCCAAACATAGTGCTGAACCCTATTAAAGTCTAAGGAAGCCACATCTTGCTATTTATTTATTTTCTGTTTTTTTTCAAGGTTAGTTTGCAAGATTATAATAAAAGAAGGGCATAGGAAGCAGGATACTACAATGTGGTACCTGTACCACTGCGAAAAATGTACAAAACATAAATACTGTTCTGCAGGGTCCACTTAAAAGGCATTGCCAGGGTTAAGTGCTCATTTTTGTCTAGGTACTAAGAGAAAGTTATACTCACCTGAACCGCAGAGGCAGCTGGCAGCTACTCTGGTCCCTGAAGCCTGATTCCTCTTCCTCTGCAGCAATGGTGTGTCCGTCTGTGTCCTTATGTCCTCTACACTGTGTATAGAATGTGATGACTCAAGGATCCTAAGACCACTTGAGCGAAGGGGGAGAGAGGCTTCAGGGACCGGTCTAAGAGCATGCTCGCTCTGAAGATTGGGTGAGTATAACTTTATTTTAGCACCTAGACAAAAATGAGCATTTAACCCTTGCCATGCGGGGGTAGCCCCACTGCATGGGCTAAGAACACTTTTGCCCAGGTTCTGTTTTAAAAGCTGCATGTAAAGTTTTGGAACAGAACAAGTTAACCCTTTAAAAGACACAAAAAAGAAATCCTGCCACTGCACAGACCCCAGGCAGATGGTGTTTATAAAAAAAATGTCCAAGGATCCTTTGTGTGGTCATTGGCTAAACATCAAGACTTCCTGAACCATACCAGGCCACATGCCCATCAACATCGGAAGGGTACCTTTAAAGGGGGGGTTGGCTAAGCCTCACTTGATTTCTATTCATATGCATGTATTTCAGAGATATACTGAATATGTTTTTTTTGTCTAGCCATACACTTTACAGTAATGTGTGCATGTCATGTTTGGTATTCGTAGTTATCTGTTAAAAATGAAGATCTGCTCTGCATTCCTCAGGGGTTTCTAAAATGTGGATATAATAAAAACCTTGAAAGAAAAAATCCATGTAAAATCTACACTGTATGGATGGTTTATTAGGTACATTGATCTGTTTATATTGTTAGTTGTTTATTCAGATGAGGGCAGGCCTCTAATTATCTCCCTGGTGCAATAGGGCCAGGGCGTTGCTGTCATGAGGAAGGCAAGGACAATACATCAGGCAGGGCTGACATCTAAAATGACTTTCTCATTTTCACTAGCTGTTTCCTAAGAAAGGCTAAGATTTACTGAAGGCTCCAATGGAGTGGGGTGAAGGGAGGAGTGATGAAAGTGAGTATAAGTGGTTTGGTGGGTGATCTTTCAAGAGACTCTGTCACTTTACCCTTAATGAACAAAGTGACAGAGATGTTTTCATGCAAACTTCAGACACAATGAATAAAAATATACCAATGAATGCACGTATTGACTTATTAAAACTGATTAAAAGAATATTTAAATGCAATGAGTGTAACTACCTACTTGGTATCGGTTTCCCATAAAGCTCTATACATTAGCACCCAGGCTAGGAGAGGGAGGGGCAGCAATAGGAGCCAATCGGGTATGCTGCATGCAAATGAGCTAACGAGAAACAAGCTGACAGGAGAAGTAAGCAAAGTGAGAAATAAGCTTATCAGCTGGCTGCTGGACTGTCACTATACAATCACAGGTTGGGTGCAGGGAGGGGACCTGGCAGTGCTATTTACCTGCAGCAGAGAAAAGTCAGGTCACCAGACCTGGCTGGGTTAAATAATACAGTCAAAATTTCATTTTGTGTCATACCAAAACAAGAGGCTGAACAAGTGAAAAGATGACAATGTGTCTATATATGTCATTCTTGGCAGCAAAGATTATATCTTTGTTGTATATAACTACCCAGAAGGAGTGGAACAACTATTCTTGTGCTGTGTAAGCATGTTGTTTTATTGGCTACTTCTATGTTTGCAACTATTTTTGGCTACCTTTGTTTATACTATAAAATTTCCTTATTCTGACAGACACACATCCACTTTGTGTTTACTGTATTTTTTTGCCCACATTTTTAAATAATGATATACAATATCAAAATGACTGACTGATTAATATTTACATGTGACAGCAAAGGCCTGATTTATGTATTCATTGGTTAACTATACAAATGGTAGACTTTCTTACTGCATACATAGTGAAGGAAATGTAATGAGAAGAGCTTCACCATAAGGTCAGAGAAAATGCCTTACATCTCTGGGAAGAGCTACTGAAGGCGTAGATTAAAATTTGAAATGCATATCTTCAAAAACTGACGGCTTGAATGCCAAAGGTCTGAAAAGGTGCGATTTCTGCAGATGAAGGATTGTGTGATGAAAGTAAAGTCTGATGAAAATGATAGTACTATATAATAATAGTAATATATAATAAACATAATATATAATATACAACCCCAATTCCAAAAAAGATGGGACGCTGTGTAAAATCTACATAAAAACCGAATGCAATGATTTGCAAATCTCAAAAAACCCATATTTTATTCACAATAGAAAATAGAAAACACATCAAATGTTTAAACTGATAAAATCTACAATTTTAAGAAATTATAAGGTCATTTTGAAATTGATGGCAGCAACACGTCTCAAACAGTTGGGACAGGGCAACAAAAACCTGGCAAAGTAAGTGGTACTAACAGAAAGAGCTGGAAGAACATTTTGCAACTAATTAGGGTAATTGGCAACAGGTCAATACCATGACTGGGTATAAAAAGAGCATCTGAGAGAGTCAGACTGTTTTAGAAGTAAAGATGGGCAGAGGTTCACCAATCTATGAGAAGCTGCGTCTAAAAATTGTTGAACATTTTCAGAATAATGTTCCTCAACGTAAAATTGCAAAGATTTTAAATATATCATCATGTACAGTACATAATATCATCAAATGATTCAGAGAATCTGGAGAAATCTCTGTGCACAAGGGGTAATGCCGAAATGCCCTCAGACGGCACTGCATTAAAAACAGGCATGACTCTGTGATGGACATCACTGCATGGGCTCAGGAATACTTCCACAAATCACTGTCTGTGAACACAGTTTGCCATGCCATCCAAAAATGCAAGTTAAACCTCTATCATGCAAAGAAGAAGCCATATCTGGACATGATCCAGGAATGCTGCCGTCTTCCCTGGGCCAAAGCTAATTTAAAATTATCTTTTGAAAGCGGAAAACTGTTCTGTGGTCAGACGGATCTAAATTTGATATTCTTTTTGGCAACCATAGGGGCTGCATCCTCCAGTCTAAAAAATAAAGGGACCTTCTGGCTTTTTATCAGTGTTCAGTTCAAAAGCCTGCATCTGGTATGGAGGTGCATTAGTGTGTATAGAATGGGCAGCTTGCACATCTGGAAAGACACCATCAATGCTGAAAGATATATCTAGGTTTTAGAGCAGCATATGCTCCCATCCAGATGATGTCTTTTTCAGGGAAGGCATTTAATATTTCAGCAGGACAATGTTAAACAACATACTGCATCTATGACAACAGAATGACTTTGTTGTAGAAGAGTCCGGGTGCTTAGCTGGCCTGCCTGCTGTCCAGACTTTTCACCAATTGAAAATATTTGGTGCATCTTGAAACAAAAAATAATAAAGAAGACTCAGGACTGCTGAGCAGTTAGAATCCTACATCAGGCAAGAATGGGACAACTTTACTGTCCCAAAACTCCGAACGTTTTCAGAGTGTTGTTGCTACACCTTGGTAAACATGGCCCTGCCCCAACTTTTTTGAGATGCGTTGCTGCCATCAATTTCAAAATTGCCTTGTTTTTTTTCTGTTCTGAATAAAATATGGGCTTATGAGATTTGCAAATCATTGCATTGTGTTTTTATGTAGATTTTACACGGCGTCCCAACTTTTTTGGAATTGGGGTCGTAATTAATAATAATGGTATATGAAATAAATTAACATTTTATGACAACATCATTATATTTAGTATATTTTCTGATCAATTTAAAGCTGTTTTGGAGAATAAAACTTGGACTTGCTATCAAAAACATTAACATTTAGTGGGTTGGTAAATGGTAACATCAGTGTGTCTGGTACCTATTCCAGTCAGTGGTGACAGCAGCCCGTAGCTCAGAACCAGATCTGTGTTTTAGAGTTTCATCAGAAAAAAAACAATTATTCTTCAGCAGGATTGCTTTGTGTACTATACAACCTGCATTCTATAACCAATGAAGATGAAATGTGGGTACTGATCGAGAAATAGTTTAATTGACTAGTTAAAAGGGTTTGCCACCATTATAGGTTCATGGCAAATTCCCAGGAACTACAAAGGTTGCGAATCGTGAACTTTTGGTTGACAACTTTGCAGGCCTTTGCTCCTGATCAGTTGGTCAGAAGAGCCAATTTGTGTAAGGAATAGATAACCCAGTCCCCCTTTTTTTAATAAAAGGGTGAGCTCAAAGATTCCATATTGTCAGAGTGTGTTGGAGTTGTTTGGAGGGAGCTGATCATTTTGTACAGTGAGTGATATTTATTTTTAATTTTTTTTTATTTTGGAATTGGTACATGCCCCCCCCCCCCCCCCCCTCGGGCGCCTGCTGTCCCCGCCTGCTT